TCCCTGGTCAGTTACAGCAGTGGCAGGCAGCTTGGAACCCTTCAGGTCTCCCTGAAGACACCTGATAGGCTTGGAAAACATAAAAAGATGGGAAAACTGTCTGTGGTGGTTTGAATAGGTGCAGTCCCCACTGACTCATGTGTTTGAATGCTGGGCTCAGGGAGTGGCACTATTAGGAGGTGTGGCCTTCTTGGAGTAGGTGTGGCTTTGTTAGAGGATGTGTGTCACTGTGGGGCTGTGATGTCTCCTAGGCTCAAGGGTTTTCCAGACACAGTCCTCTTCTGCAGATCAAGATGTAGAGCTCTCAGCAACTTCCCTAGCACCGTGTCAGCCTGCACGATGCCATGCTTCCTGTCATTACAATAATGGTCTAAACCTCTGAAACTGTAAGCCAGCCCCAATTAAATGTTGTCCTTTCTAAGAGTTGCTTTGGTCATGGTGTCTCTTCACAGCAATGGGAACCCTAACTAAGACCCTGTCCTATTTTTGATTAAGTTTGTTCTTGCAAATACAGTAATGAATTTTCTCCCATGACAGCTTATAATTAGGTATCTCATAGTTAAGGTAAACATAAGATTATTCACTAAAAATAGTCTGTATTCAATGTTGCAGCCTGAAATATCACACTGAGTTAGTAAACCCTTGCAAGAGCTGTGTCCTAGTGTAGGTATATGAAGATTATGATTGTGTTTTGGACAAAGATTGGGAGCTTCTTTTTATTTCTTAATAATTTGTTCACTCTTCAAGTCATCATGGGGCCTCCTATGTGAAGGCCAAGTACGTGCTACTGAGTCAGAAATAAATATGCTAGTGCCTGCCTGAAAGGGCAGGTGATCAGTATGAGGCCCAGGGCTGGACCATGCAAGATTACATTATACAGCTCAATTTAAATGGTGCACTTTAAAACTTATAAAAGAGACACAGCTGGCTACCTGAGATCCTTTACCCATCTCCCTCTCATTTAGCTTGCTCCAAAGCCCTGAGGCTGCTTTGCATGGACTGCCTAGATTGCAGTTTTTTTCCCCACCAGTGATCTTTCAGCAAAGACCCCAGATACCTGCGCTCCTCTTTTCAGCACCCTCAGTTTGGGTAACCTCAGAGCCTTGGGGTTCACAGAACCTAGGGCATTGAACCTTCTAGCACCATGAAAGCTACCCAGGAAGGATGATGCTTCAGGTTGTTACAATCCTAATTTCCCCACATATGTGTTGTCTTCAATGACAGGGTCTTACCATCATGTTTGGAAGGTAACCAAGAGCATTGGCAATAGCCTGTAACACTTGTGACTGTCCATGGGATCACATTGACCAACAATTTGAAAAGAGGTAACCCACAACTGATACTGCCTGTGCCTAGGAAAGGCATGGTCTTCCTTAAATGGTAATGTCACTTAAACTCCTTTTATATATTTATGTATTTCAGGAAAATTCTACAGTAGGTCTCTCTAGACTATTTTCAAAGGTCTTTAGCCTTGGTTGTCTTTTCCTCTACTCACTCCTCTAGCCTGCCTGTAAATTCTGCACCCCATTTAAATCTTCCTGCTCCTTATTCTCCCTTTCCCCTTCACAGCATCTGTGTCCTATGGTTTTTGAAATCGTTATAACTTCTTTTACTCTCACACATTACATTCGGACTGCAGTTTCCCCTCCCTCTTCTCCAAATTCCCCCTACCCCTGTACACTTCTACTTTCCCTTCAGGAAGAGCACTTGCCTTGAAATCTTATCTGCCACCATTGTTTGGGACCCACCTGTTTTGGTTATTTGAGGAAATAGTTTCCCACAGCCCCAAAGGTGACTACTTTCTCTCTCTTGTATACTAAATAACACAAAGAAAAGAGACTAGGGGACCTAATGTATATATTTTTAAATAGGGGACTTTAGGATGTATATACTTTGTAGCTCCTGGAAAAGACTGTAAATGTCGAAGTTATCAAGTAGCAAATGCAAGATGGAAAAGGAAAATGACTAGAAGTGAAATGCTCTTAGGGTTCATTTAACAGGATGCTAAGGTTTTACTTAGAAGCACATTAAGAGGTTTGCATAGGAAGAAAGAATTAGCTTGTTTTTCCTTTGGCCACTTACTAAATGTGCCCTTGAATTACAACCAACCAGAGCTGTGTCATTCTTGAAATGGAACCTACTTGCCTCAATGAGCTGGCCACAAAAGGTGATTCCAAGCCATGCTTTATTGTTTTCCATACAACCCTCCAAGCATTGTGAGATCAAGCGTAAAGATTCCACAGAATTGATGAGCAAATGTGCATTTGTTTCTTCTAGGAGTTTAAAAAGAAAACAAAACTCGAAGCTGCCAATCATTTTGGAAAATGTTATTTGCAACACAGTACATTTTATGGCCCTTTTTGTGGGACTGTGAATTAATATGTGTGCATAGCCTAAGGACAAAATATCCCAGTACGTGGAAAAGTCTTTTAAAGCCTTATACATCTATCATTGTTTTCAAACGTTTAATGGTAATTTGAGTTCACTGTGGAATTAAATGGATCTGTGACAGAAATTCAAGTTAATTTATTCAGCAAGTAATGACATGTTTTAAGGGGTTTCAAAGTGATCAAAATAATGGCACACCAACAAACTTTTAATGATCAGTCTGGAAATGAATGTATGAGAAGTTGGCAAGATGGAGGGGGCGGGGAATGAAGGCGGTGTTCAGTGTTCACACCCAGAAACACTCCATACATGGCACTGAAACAATCTCAGGAGTTCCATGGACTCTGTGAAAGTGAGTCATGTTAAAATCAACAACAGAGAAACAATTTGAGAAATGACTTTAAAAGCAGCCATTGGAGAAGAAAGCTAACAGACTGATCACTTAATAAAACCAGGGGTAACTGAAGCTAATACTTTATACAGATTTCTTCTAAGAAGAATTGTTTAAAAATCTGGTGTGACTCTGCTTAAAAGATTTAGCTGCATCATTCATTGCTCAGAAATGCTTTGGTAAAAAGAATGCACATTTTCCAAAGTGATTGGAATTGTCAAATTATACTTAAGTGTCAAGCAGCAGGCTATGTGCTTGTCATAAATCACAATTTCCTTGGCTTTTCTGCCAATCTTTGGTCCTCAGGATTTGTACACAAAGGGATAACAAAGAGCTAGTTGAAGGCAGATAATCCGGAACATCACAATTTTGTTAAAAGTGGGTGAAGACTGGAGTCTGCATTTTCCATGAGATTCAGCTATCAGTGAACTGTAGCCCTCATCTTGATAGACATATCTAGTCTGAACTCTGAGTTAACAGCTAATTTTTGGAGTGGTTGGTTGGATGCTCATCTGCTGTTTTTCTCTTTGGCATAAAATCTTATCAGCCCCTTGTGTCTTGTAGCACAGAGCAGGGTAGAAAATAGTTCCTGGTGGTAGAAAACCCTCTGTAAGTCATCTTTAAAATAACAAGGTTAGATGAACCTCTGTCTAGACTCCCATGTTGTTTTAATACTTTAAATGCACATCGGATGTTTGGCAAATATTTCTCAAAAATTATGACTTACATGTGGGATAGTGTGGATGCAATGAGTTTGGGAAAAGTGGACATTGAACTTTGGACCATTAAATCAGTTAAGGGGTTCTAATAAGGTTCCTATATGACCCTTAATTTCAGGTGTCATCCAGGAAGCTAGAATGACAATTAGACATCCAAATTCTATGCTTTAATGAAAAGATTTATCTTGTTTACTTTTATCAAAATGTGTTAAAAATGTGTAAGCTACTGCGTACACATCATTGTCAGAAACGTTATGGCTGACATTCAGTACATAGCATAGGCTGCTCTTCCAAAGGTCTTGAGTTCAATTCCCATCAACCAGATGGTGGCTCACAACCATCTATAATGAGATCTGGTGCCCTCTTCTGGCATGCAGGCATACATTCAGGCAGAATGTTGTATACATAATAAATAACTCTTAAAAAAAAAGTAACGGTTTAAAAAGGCGGGCTGGCTGGAGAGATGCCTCAGAGGTTAAGGGCAATGTTTGCTATTACAGAGGACCCAGGTTCAAATCCCAGAACCCATATGGCAGCTCACAACTGTCTGTAACTCCATGATCTGACACCCTTACATAGACATACATGCAGACAAAACACCAATGCACATAAAATAAAGGTAAATAAAATTTAAAAAGTGACCCCTAAAAACTATGCTTAGAACAATAATTTAATAAATCTGCTGCCATAAAATAATCAGAACTGATGCTATCTATGTATGTTAAAAATAAATTATCTTTGAAGGCTCCCATTTGATATAAAACTGTGGTGGATGCCACTCAAAATGACATTAATTTTTTTGTCTGTATGAGGCGAGGACCATGAGATTCAGTTACATAAATACATAGTAGGTGTTTAGAAAATGGAGTAAGGGACAGAGGCTGATGGGAATGCTATACTTGTTTTATACAGTGGGAGTTGAGTGGAAACATGACATGAGTGAGGAACGAGTTACATAAAGAGTTAAGAGTTCCGTGTAGCAAGATGGCTGGCCACATTAGCCGAGATAAGCAGGGCATGAGGTTTCAAATCCAGGCTTTTCCATGAACAGCTAAATTCTCTTCTCTACTCAGCCTTTCTGAGACCCCAATCCTGCACCTGCCACCCATGAACTAAAGGACAATTAGGAATTTAATCTGTACTAAACACAATTAGTCATTTTGTTTTAGGGTGAATGAGGTGTGGCTGGTCCACTCTTTTTGACTGGGTCACAAATGTAAGAACACACACCACATGTTCTGTGCCTTTTCTCATATCAGTTTCCTATCTCTGCCTTGCATACCCTGGCAATGAATGTAGGTTAGATCCCTGGCAAGGGAACCCAACTAGCCAAAGGCTGTGTGTGCAAAATAATTTTCAATGTGAGGCTTTTAATGGGAAATGTCTCCTTGTCAAGGTACGTAATTGTTAGTAGGATTTATTATTTCCATTTGCAACCTTACACACTCATTTACACATACAGAAGCTTCCTAAAAGTCAGAAAAATATGACGCAGGAGCAGATATATTAAAAGACTTTATTCACAATAGAGAAATTTTACAAATATAATTTTTAAAAATTATGTGTCAATCTATTATGTTTTCCATAACATCAGAGATTTATATAAAGTTGTAAATGACAGAGTGCACTTATGAACAAATGAGAAACATGAACAAGTGAGAAATGTTGAACGTAAAACTGGATAATACACATGATAGAGAAGTCACTGAGTTCTATAAATTGGCATACAACTTATGCGTATAATATTAACTGCACAAAGTATATCAAAATATATTCCAGAGACACAAATTGGGTGCTATTTTAGCTGTTCACCTTCATGGATGTTGATTACCCATGTAAATTAAACTGCACAGTTTTGTTGAAAATTAATGAATTGATGTCTATTTGGAAACTTCAGTTGTTTAAAATTAACAAAAAATATAAGCTTAATTCAATTACATTACTATAATATTAATCTCTTGTTTACATTTTTGGTATTCTGGGATCTAGCCTTAAAAAAAGAAATCCAAGTTTTAAAAGTGAAAAACTATTCTTGCCATTGTCAGGGCAACACATGCTTCAGCTTCTTGCCTGCTTATGCTGGAATACACAAGCTACACTATGGTGTGGCAGCTACACAGGACCTGACCTTCAGACCCCGCCTGCTGCAGAAACGGTCATCAGCTTTGTGTGCTCCTTCAAATTAAAATGCAAAGGAAACGAATTAAACAGTTAATCTACGGACAGTGGAAAAGTCATAATCAAAATACATATGGCCAGATTTTGGCAGCAAATTTTAATGTTTTTACCTCTGAGCTCTGGGGAAGAGAGATTTGTCATTTGCTCATTCTTCCCAGGGGAGGGAAAAGTTTTGCAGTCAAATCATGCTGTTATTAAGAGGTCAAAACTGTTTGATTCAGTTTCATGAAAATGAGGTCACGGGTTCATGAACTCCAGAGATTAAAGAGATTACAGGCAGAAGTTACTCTGGGGCACGGAGATACACTGACACAGCCATAAGAATATACGGAGGGACCTTTTTCATTTACTAATTTTGCAGTTTTATTTTTGACGTGTTCTAATGTACAATACTGGAAACTACCAGGACACACAAGGTGGTGATCCTAAATGACATCTTTTGAACCCCTCCCCCAAAGCTGAAATGGGTAAAAAATATTGTCTACTGAGATTTAAAAAAGTAAATGTCTCAAAAAAATATATTGAATACCATGAAACTGATAAAATCAGAAAGTTTGAAGAATATAAATATACGGTTTAGCCTAATTAAAGTGTATATTTAATTAGGTTAAATGGGGTTGTATTATTTGTTTTGTTGCTGTTATTGACCATAGTAGGTTGAAATTCAGATGGTTAGCATCTTTGTCCCTTGGTACATACGTAATCACATTCGATCTTTCATGTAAAGAACAGGTGTGGTAACACAGCTATCACAAAATCTGTTCTTGGAAAAAATATTCGTATTTCAAAATGAGGTTTAGAAGAATCATAAACATTTTGATCTGCTACAGATCAAATTATTAAGGGAGTGTGCCCATTCCTATAAATTATTTCTAAGTTAAGATTTTTATGCTGAATGTAACCACACTTAACACACGGTGTGCTTAAGAGCTAATTAGATTTTTTTTTTTAAAGTTGAACACGGATAGATAAATTGGCAACGTTCAAAGCTCACTTCCACAAACTGAAGGGAAATGATTAGCTACATCTGGGAAGAGCCCCTTTCAAATCTGAACCAAGTGTGTTCTTTGCTTAAAGAACATCAGAGATTTAATGCAAATACATGAGCTAGTCATATGAAATTCTCACTCTCTTTTTGTTTCGGAATGGGTTCAGCTAAAAGGAAAACCTTGCTCATTAAAAGTTACATTGTTTCCCTTTCAAAAATGTAATTCAGTAACAGGGCGCCCTGCAGAACTCAAGAGCTCACCCTGCTGTGACATGGGGAATGGAGGAAATTAGGCAGTACATGATATAGAGATGACACAGGGCATTTCAAGTAAAAGTAGAGAACAAATTTGAAAGTGAGGGAACGCTAACATAATCTCCCAACAAAAACATACTGCACTTGTGATGAAATGAGGGCAGCGTGGCTTACTCTCCTGGGATGACTTTCTCATTTGAATTGCAATGTGAGTGGAGTACTTTAGAAGACATTCTATCAAATAATGATAGACCTGCTAAGAGGGTGTCACAGTTATAAGATCTGTCTCTGGTGGACAGACAAACTGGATTAACATGAACTTGAAAAGGAAAAAAAAAAGCTTTTTATTTTAATACTTAATTTATTATTATGGCTTTTTGCAACATGGCAAAACATTACAGCTCAAAGCAGACAGCATCTCCTCACAGAGGAGGAAAAAGTTTTGCAGTCAAATCAAATCATAATTAAGAGGTCACTGGTAGACTGTTCTATTCCATTTCATGAAATGCTGTCACGACTTCATGAACTTCAGAAACAATAGATTCCTTAAAAAAAAAAAAAAAAAGCCAGACAAAATCTGTGGATTCATTAGCTGAAAAATAAAGAAATAAGGACCAGAGGTCCACTTAGGCTTATGATAATAAACCTAAAAGACTGCAAAACAATTTTAGAACTTAGGATAATCACAGACTTTTATCAGTCAATAAAAGTTCATCATATGCCTGATTACCAAAAAAGGAATTATTAAGGTATGCAGTGAAGAATGAAGCAGAGTAAAATAGAAACTGTCTTTCATTTCTCTTTGACATCAACTTCCTCTTTCACTTCACGGAGCACAGGGAAAGGGTGGGCCTCAGTATTGAAGATCCAATGCTCTAGTGGAAGAAGGTCGTCGTCGGAAAATATCAAGTACAAATACCTAGAGAGAAAAGAAATGAGCATAGGAAGTACAGGAAAGCATGCCACCAAGACAAGTTTATATCTCTGTACATCTGTGGAGAACCAAGGACAGAAGTCAATTCTAACAACCATAGTCCTTAACATGGTGCCACTCACGCTTTGGGTGCTAGTGTATGACCACACAGAGTAGTCGTTCTAGGTCATTAGTCCCAGCAATGGCTGGAAACACCTGCACAGAGACTGCGCTGGTAACACACCTGAACTGGGTTGAACACCATACACATCAGCCACATTGGTATACTATGGCCATGTGTATCAAGAAGATATCTATAGAGAAGATCTTAGGGGACTCGGCCACACACTTTGAGGATAATTTTACTTACTTTAGTGTCTCTGCCAGGAAGAAACTTTGCTGGACATTGTCATAACTCTCATTAGCAATGTAGACATCCCGCAGGCCTGAGTAGCCTCCACCCACTCTGCAGTGCTTTTCTAGGGCCTGAATTGCCAAGAAAGGGGGGGAGGAGATCAGTAAAGTTATTATCAGTTATTTTTTATTAGATTGTCAAATTCAAATAAGACACGGTATCAAGGGGAATGACAGCTTAAAAGAGTTTTTGATAGAAAATTTACAAACTATAAAGTAGAAAGGCAAATAAAGGGGAAAGGGTACACAAGACATTGGGGCTACATATCTTGCTTCCAAAGAAACCCTTCTACATGCGGTTTTGGAAGAGTCTGGAACTCACTTCTAACATTTCCACTTTTGGTCCAGAGTAAAGTTTTGGTAGAGCAAAGACCCCAGGCTATGTCTAGCCCATTGTTTATTTTTGTAAATAAAGTTTTATTAAACTATGGCTAGACCGCCCTCATTTGTTTGTACAGTGTCTGTGGCTGTTTTTGCACCACCATGATGGTGTGTAGTGGTGGAGACTGTATTGCTCTACATGGTCTTTATACAGCAAGCGTGCTGATCTCTGACTACGCATGTTCTTTGTGTCAACTGGGTTGTGAACCTCTGGTCAAGTAAGTGTGCTGGGCCCCCAAAGCCTCCACTTCCATTAGAATATAGCAACTCTGTATCTTTCCAGTTAAGTCTTGTTGGATTCTTAAAAAAAATAGAGATAGTGAACTATTAATGGTGCCAGTGATGGAACTGAAGAAATGGAAGGCAATGAGAAGAGTGAGTCTGGAATCCGTTGCAAAAACTAGTTTTGTCTTTTCTTTAGTGTGATAGAGAAGAAAGTGTGATGAGTTCACCCATGACTCTAGAAGCTCAGAGAGAAATGGTTTGTAGCTCCGCGAACAGAATGACTATTTGGAAGGGAGGCGGGCTGAGCAGCGTTGGGGATGAAAATGTATGTAAAAACTTAAAAGCCCTTCCATTCTTTTATCTGTCAATACATTGACTACTGCTTGTAGATTCCCCCCGCCAGAAGCCAGAATTCTTATTTCTGTTTCATACTTTTCAGCTTTGCTGATATATTGTTGACAAAGAAAAACATCATATTATGTATTTAACATGGATAAATGTGCTGCTTTATATTCAGATGGTGGAATGACTAATAAATGTGTCCATACCATCACGAGTGCTACTTTTTGTGTGCTGAGACTCCTTGATATCTATTCATACACTGGTATTCACTATAGTTGCCATGCTGCACAGTATAGTAGCCCTCTGAAAGGCTTTCATATTTTTGTGATTATTTTTGTAATTTATTTTTTTATAATTTATCAACTTTATATTCCGATTGTAGTCCCCTCCCTCATCTCCTCCTGGTTCCAACCCCTTCCCTCTTCCCCTAGTCCTCAGAAATGGGGAGCCCTCCTCCCCTATCATCTGACCCCAGCCTATCGAGTCTCATCAGGACTAGCTGCATCTTCTTTCTCTGTGGCCTGGCAAAGGCCACCCCACCTGGGGAAAGTGATTAAAGAGCAGGTAACAGGGTCGATGTCAGAAAGTCCATGTCTCTGCCCCCCTTAAAGGGAACCCACATGGAAACAAGGATTCTCAGTGTATAACAGCCCTGGCTGCCAAGCACTAGCTCTGCAGACCGGGCTGGCCTCAAATACAGAGATCCACCTGTCTCTGCCTCCCAAGTACTGGGATTAAAGACACATGCCACCACCACCTGGCTGGCATGCTTTCATCTTTTAGCTGAATTTTTCAAATATTTTTACTGTACATGTCCTCCTCTCATTCCTCCCCAGTTCCTGGTAACTGCCACTCTCTACCACTGTTAAGATCTTTAATTATCCTAAGCTCTCTATGAAAGTGCGATCACACAGCATCTTTCTGCGTATGGCGTGTTCTGTTTAGGATAATGTCCTCTAGGTTCACCCTCGTTGTGAAGGGCAGATTTTTTTTTTTTTAATTGTGAAAGCCTGTTCTGAAATCTATTGAATATGCATTCCACATCTTTACTTCTTCACCTACTGAGGAGCACTTGGCATGTTTCTATATGTCGGTTACTGTGAATCATGGTCTGACCACTGTGAGATTAATGAGAATCCATAGAACTTATGGCATTTCATTGGGCACTGATATATATAAAATCAGACCAGAAACGGGACTTCTTCACCTTATGAAGCTTTATTTTTAATTTTTAAAGTAACCTCCATACTGTATCTTATGATGGCCACACCAGAGTATATTGCCACCAACATGTACAAAGGTCCCCTTTTCTTCATATCCTCGACTGCTGGTAATGTCTTGATTTTTTGATAATAGTCATTTTCATAGAAGTGAGGTGATCTCAGCATGGATTTGCTTTACATTCCCAATGATGAGAGATACTGGGCCCTTTTTCATAGTTTTTTCATATAGTTTTTGACTACTCGTATGTCTTCTTTGAAAAAAAAAAAAAGTCCATTGAGATTCTTTGCCCATTTTTAAAATGGTTTATCTCTCATCACCGAGTTGTATTAATTCGCCATTTTGGATATTAACTCCTTATATGATATAGCCTGCAGAGAGTACTTACACAAAGAAGATAGCTACAACACTATTAGGCAATACTGTCTTGTAGTAATGCCATCACACTTGTGGTCATGGAGAAACGAGGTTATGTAACTGCAAATGATTGAAAAGAATTTCTATGTCCTGATACATTATTGTAGTTGATTGTTCCCTCTTCTGTGCAGAAATGCTGTAGACAGATGTGGTCCTGTGAGTTTTATTTTACTTTTGTAGTTGCTGTGTGGATTTCCAATCAAATAAAGTCACTATCAGGCCAATGTCAAGAAATTTTCCTCAACATTTTCTTCTAGGAGTTTTATTTATTTATTTCAGATCTTATATTTAACCCTTTAATGAATCTTTGTTTTTGTGTAGTGTATGTATTTTAAGATTATACAGGTTGCTTGTCTACTCACCAAGCATATTCTAGCCAAGTTATTTTTTTTTATTACCACACTATAGCAATCCTATTAAGTATATGGCAAAATAAAAACTGGTTATCTGAAACCCTGCCCTGATTCATAGGAAGCTGACATAGTTCATCTTTTTATTATCAACTTGACTAGATTTAAAATCAATCACTTAGTAAACACATCCCTGGACATGCCCCTGAAGGTGTTTCCAGAGAAGTTTAACTGAGGAGGAATGTTCATTTATGAATATGGGTAGGGCCAAGTCTTTGGTAGGAGTCCCAGACTGAGACAAAGAAAAACAGGAGAAAGGATGAGCACCAACATCCACTGCTCTGACTCTCGACTTTGGATGCAGTGTGACCAACTACCGTATGTTTCTGCTGCCCTGACTTCCTCTCCATGAAAGATTCTGCCTACAACTGGGAGCACAAATCTTCCTGTATTAAGTTACATATATATATGTCACACACAAATATGTCACAGCAACAAGTTCAGTAACTAGAAGAGAATCTTGGTATTGAGGAGTGGGGCCAGTGCTATGATAAGCCTGATCTTGTGGCTTGTAGGCTGTTTGAACTGGTTGGTGGGAGTGCTATGGAAGAGTTTGGATAGATAAGCCCTACAGGGCCATAATTAATGAGCCCTTTTGAGAAAAGTGCAGACAGTGGAGGCCCAATTCATGATATTGTAGAAAGAAGCAAAAATTCTATTGGGAACAAGACTTGAGGACATATTTGTGTTATAATCTGGTAAAGAATCTTGCTGCCACTGTTCTTGTGTTCTGTTCTAGAGTTCAAGAACAATGGGCTAAATTGTTCTGTGGAGGACATTTCAAGACAGCATAGCATGCAGACTGTGCTGTGAATATTTCTTTTTTTTTTAATTTTCTTTTTTTTTTATTATTCTCATTAGTTACATTTTGTTAATTCTGTATCCCAGCTGTATCCCTCATTTCCTCCCCAATCCCACCCTCCCTCCCTCATCTCCTCCCTGTCCCTTTCCAAGTCCACTGATAGGGGAGGACCTCCTCTCCTTTCATATGACTCCGTTTTGTCAGGTATTTTCAGGACTGGCTGCAAAGTCCTCCTCTGTGGCCTAACAGTACAGCTCCTCCCTTGGGAGGTGGGGAGGTCAAAGATCTTAGTGCATGTATCCATACTTTCAGTAAGAAAGGGCGGGCTGTTCAACAGAAAGACCTTAAAGGTGTTAAAGAGATTAGCATATCTAGGACACTTATCTATTGCCCTGAGTCTATTGAGAAGGTTCCCTGAGGGGAAGACCCAATCATCCAAAGCTGGAATTTGAAGAATTAATTTAGAAGGAAAAAGCCTGAGTTGCGAATGCTGCTAGAGGAGTCCTCTGCTAGAAAAGAGGTGGCTTGGAAGGCGTTTCCCCATGTTTGGCCACCATCATACACAGAGGCCACTGCTGCTAAAGCAGAGGGGAGCTAGGTTAGTCTTGAGCTGGCAGCAGAACTCAGCAGTATTGTCCAGATTGTGGCCAGGTTGCAGGCATGCAAGATGCAAGAATTCCTGGGCAACTAAGTCTTACACCAAGGTTCCAAAAAGTGCCTGCTACTAGCAGTGTTTGGGCAGGGTTATTATTCTCTACTAACAGGCTCTGAGAGGCCATTGCATAGAGCTGTGAAGGTAAAGCCTAAGTTGCAATAAACATACCAGGATGTGGAAGTTGCCATGGCTGTTGGCCATCTGTTGAGGATACCAGTAGGCTTCATGTGGAACCAGCCAAAAGGTGAGAGTACATGTGCTGGCTGCACTATGTAGAACTGGAGAAATTATTAAAGATTATGGATCCCAGATGATGGCACTGCAGACCCTAGACACCAGGCATGGGGCTGTAGGGTTTCCTGTTTTTCTTCCCTTTGGGTTTTGGTCTCATTTGACCAGTCTTTCCTCAACACCTACCATTCCTCCCTTTTGGAATGGGAACATTTACTCTATGTCATTGTATATTGGAGGCATATAACATGGAATTTTGATTTTAGAGAGCCTGATGGCTAAAAAATTGCCTCAATTCTCAGATGATTTTGCACTGCTGCTTTTGAACAAAGCTAAAATTGTTAAAATCCACTGGATAGATTCTTGATGTAACTAATCACTTTGCATT